CTGGAAACCTGGGCTGGATCTATGACAAAGAAAGAGAAAGGGAAGTGCAGTGACCTGGCGCCTGCCATTTGCCCCACACGGCTGCTTCTCCCCTCGCTGCCCCTGCATAGACACAGGTCTCACTGGCTTCCTATCATTTGATTATACATGAAGCTACCAGAAACTTCCAGAGAAAGAAATGAGCCCTCCCCCAGTCTCTGGGCTCTGTTGTGGAATATTATTTTAAGGTGTGTGACATTTGTTTATGCTCCAGAACATTTGTTTTAATGATGCAAAGATGTGTTGCATTCCTTTATCTTGCATTTGTTTGACTCTGTGAAGCTGTGTTACTTTGCCTGTCTAAAACACCTGAGTGGTCTAATAAAGAGCTGAACGGCCGATAGCAAGCCAGGAGCAAAGATAGGCAGGGCTGTCAGGCAGAGAGAATAAATAGGAGAAAAAGCAAAAGAGATCAAGAATCAAGAAAAGAAGGGGTCAGCCAGCCACTCATCCAGCCACGGAGTAAGAGTGAATGGAAGGTTACAGACATGAGAAAAGGAAAAGTTTCGGATGCAAAAGGTAAACAGGATAATTTAAGAAAAACTGACAAGCTGGGCAAGCTGGGCAAGCTGGATGGTGGTACATGCCTTTAATCCCAGCACTTGAGGGGCAAAGGCAGGTAAATATCTGTGAATTTGAGTCCAGCCTGGTCTACAAGAGCTAGTTCCAGGACAGCTAAGGCTGTTACACAGAGAAACCCTGTCTCAGAAAAAAAAAAAAAAAAAAAAAAAAAAGAAGGAAGGAAGAAAAAAAAAACAAGAAAGAAAGAAAGAAAGAAAAGCTGGCTAGAAAAAGCCAAACTAAGGCTTGGCATTTATAAGTAAGAATTAAGCCTCCACGTGTATTTATTTGGGAATTGGGTGGAGGGCCCCCTGGGGTGATATTTTATTTGTGCTTTAACAAATAATGTTTGCCTGAAGATCAGAGTGCAGAGCTAAGCTATTAGTTAGCCATACAGGTCAGGCAACGGTGGTGCATGCCTTTAATCCCAGCACTCAGGAGACAGAGGCTGAAAGACCTCTGTGAGTTCAAGGTCACCCTGTGCAACGCAAGAAAGAGCCAGTCTAAAAGAGAAACAGAGCTCACACCTTTAATCCCGAGCACTAGGGAGGTGGAGACAGGAATGATAAGGCTGGGCAGAGAAAGGAATACAAGGCGAGAAGAAACAGGAACTCAGGATTCAGTCTGAGGTTTCATAGAAACAGCATTCAGTCTGAGGACTTGTAGAGACAGGACATCCCATTCGGCTGAGGATTTGGTAGAGGTCAGAACTAGTGGCTGGCTGCTCTGCTTCTCTGATCTTTCACCATTAGCATCTATATCTGACTCCAGGTTTTTATTATTAAAACCAATTAGAATTCATGCTACAGCCCCCCAAAGAGTAAACGAACAAAGAGTAGAAAGACAAAGAGTAAAACGGACAAGCAAACAAAATAAAACCATCTGCAGTGCTCATACAGCAGACACGCTCTTTACAGCTCCCCACAAGGCGATGAGACCCCAAAGCCACGATGGTGGCAAACGACTGCTGGTGCCAGCAGTTTCTGCAGCAGAACAAGAATTAGAGAATTAGAGGCTTGAGAGGCAAGAGCGAGGGGAAGAAAGGAGACAGAACCCGCATCAGGTCACGGGAAGCCACTGGCCCTTGGAAACCTGAGTGGGGAAGGATGCTTTTCTTCTTCCACCTGCCAAGCTAGAGACGTCAAATGGATCAATAGATCATGTGTGCCTCTTCACCTCTGAACTTGACATGCAGTACCTTTGATTTACGCTATCTTTTTATGCTAGTGGTTGAATCCATGGCCTTGGGAATACTAAGTGTGTACTCTACCACTGAGTTACACCCCATCCCCTGAGCTGGTGGTGCATGTAGTTGGCCTTGCTTCTTTCTATCTAATCAACTTCTCTGGGCTACAATGTACATACAATAAAATGTATCAGTTGCAAAGGGGACTTTGGTGGTGGTGGGACAGGTCTCACGTGGTCCAGAATGACCTCAAATTTGCTATGTAGTCGATCATGATCTTGAACTCCCAATCCTCCTGCATCTGCTTCCTGAGTACTGGGATTATAAACCCTGTCAGAACACAAAGAATGTTGCATAGTGCACAATGCCTTGGGGAACTGTGAGAGAGGGTTCAGGAAAGAAGGCAGAGGGCCTTTGTCCTCAGGTGCCTTTTATTCCCTGGATTTTCTTGGATGTGATCACATGCCTCCCTTGACAAACATTTGCATTCAGTTTATGAGTCATATTCATTCTTGTTGGATGTCAGGACATAGTCATAGAACCCTGCTGGACTTCTGTCTTGCTCTTCTGCTTCCCTAGATATAATCTATAGTGCCTGCCAGGCAATTATGTTTAAATTGGTCTGCCCTGAGAAAGGGCTGTTCTGTTGATATTTAGTATGTGTTTACTGACGTCTATTGACGTGTTTTTTCTGACCTCAAACACCCTTCTTTGGATCATTGCTTTCTTTGTTACATTTATGTATAAAAGTACAATGGAACTGAAGTAAGGTTATCTCCAGCATTAGGCCGTAGTCTGCCACATTCTTTCAGATCCTCAGATGCCAGGTCCAGCAAAGATCTGCACAGGTTGGCTGAAAAGTCGACAGGCATCATCCACCATCCATGACAAATTTAAACTTTACTTTTACTTTGGATAGTCCCATGTATCCTAAGTTGGCCAGGAACTCAAGGTGCAGCTGGCAATGACTCTGAACTTCTGATCAACCTGTTTCCATCTCTCAAGTACTGGATCAAAGGCATGTGATCCAGCCATGCCCAATCTCAGAGTGGAACTTTCAATTTTATTCTCATTTGGTTCCTATTCCTATACATCATAGAACATTCTCTTGACCCTAAGACGTTCCCTCCAACTTTTGCTGCAATATGCTGCATAGTTTTAGGTCAACTTGACATAAGTTGAAGTCATCTGAGAGGAGGGAAGCTCGGTTGAGAAAATACCCCCATAAGATCAGGCTATAAGCTAGCCTGTAGAGCATTGTTTTAGTGATATATGTGGGAGCCCATCATGGGCGGAGCCATCCCTAGGCTGGTGGTCCTGGGTTCTATAAGAAAGCAGGATGGGAAAGCCATGAAGAACAAGCTAGTTAGCAGCACCCCTCCATGGCCTCTGCATCAGTTCCTGCCTCCAGGTTCCTGCTCTGCTTGAGTTCCTGCCCTCACTGCTTTCACTGATGAACTGTTTGGTGGAACTGTGAATGAAACAAACCCTTTCTCCCCAGGATGCTTTTGGTCCTGGTGTTTCGTCACAATAATAGTAACCTGACTGAGACGTATAATCAGACCTTCTTATCCCCCATCCCAGGCAGCCAGCTACTCATCTGTTCAGTATCTATGGTCAGTTCTGCCCCCTCTGTTCTGTCGTATAAACAGAACCATGAACTCTTTTATGCCCATTTCTTCCTCTCTTCCGCCTCTCTCTCTCTCTCTCTCTCTCTCTCTCTCTCTCTCTCTGTTATTATAAATAAGATTCTATTAAATTACATTTACTTGTGTGTGTGTGTGCAGTCATATGTGTGGTGTGGCACATGTTTGGAAGTGCAAGAACAGCTTGCAGAGCCGGCTCTCTCATCCCATTGTGTGGGCTCTGGGTTCTGAAGTCAGGTCATCAGAAGTGATAGCAAGTACCTTCCCTGCTGAGTGAGTCATCTTATTGGCCCCAAACAGGGTTTCTTAAAGCTTCAAAAGCCAATTGTTTGCAAATAAACAGATAAATAAAATACAAAAGACACTTCTTTTGAATACACTTTTCTTCCTGTGACCTTGCTGAATTCACCAATTAGTCCTGAGATGCTGCAGAAATTACTCGGGATTTCGTAACAATTGCATCATCTGTGACTAAAGTGGCTTTGACTTCTCCCTTCCAAATGTTAACAAACTCAGGCCTATTACTCAGAAAGCCAATGTTCAAGAGACAGATGTTGAAGAAGACACAGCAGGTCTCCCTGAGGATGCTACTTACCTGGACTAATGGCCCAGACCTCCTTCCAACCTTTGGGAAAGGAGATGCTTACATGAGGACCAGGTTAGGAGATGCCTGCAGAAGCAAGCATTCCCCAAGAACTTTAGTCAGGTAGCCTGGTCTTTTGACACCTACCAGGGTTGATATTCTCCTGGCAATCACCACAAATGCATACATATACATATGTGTGTGCACATCTATATAATGAAATGCAACCCTATCTACCCCCATTTCCCCATCCCCATGTTTCTTCAACATGCCTTTTCCACCTCTCTTTCTCTTTCTCACCCACAAAGTGCAGTTAGTGCTGCCCATATGTGCATGGGTATGAGGCCATCCACTGGAGCATGGAATGCCCACCAGTGGCCACATCCTTGAAAATGAATGATTCTTCCTCCCCCAGCAATTATCCACTGCCAGTGGCTCCTCAGGAAAGAGTGGGGCCTGGAGATCCTCTACTCTGTGTAACCAGAGACTGGAAGTATTATCCATCCCCCGGACAGGTTTCTCTCCACCCACCAGGTCCCGCTCACTAGTTCCCATAGCTGGTTATGAAATAACCACTCTGAGGCTTTTTTTTTTTTTTTTTTTGGTTTTTCGATACTGGGTTTCTCTGTAGCTTTGGACCCTGTCTTGGAACTAGCTCTTGTAGATCAGGCTGGTCTCGAACTCACAAAGATCTGCATGCCTCTGCCTCCCGGTTGCTGGAATTAAAGGCGTGTGCCACCACTGCCCGGCTCTGACGCTTCATATTAATTACCTACTTTTTGACCTTTTAACTCAGGCTTCTTACTAACTAACTCTTACATCTTACCCATTTCTATTATTTTATATTTAACCACAAGGCTCATGGTTTGTTACCTCTTGCTTCTTGAGTGATTACATGGCATCTGCCTGACTCTGCCTTCTTTCTTCCTCTTATCTCTGCTTAAATTTCCCACCTTGCTATATTCTGCCTTTCCACAGGCCAAAGAAGCTTCTTTATTAACCAATGGTAATAGTACATATTCACAGCATACAGAGGGGACTCCCACATCACCCTATCTGTGCCAGGATTTTGGCTAGCTTGCTCTTGTGCAGATCTTGTGGGTTCGTGACTGCAATAGCCACATCCCATCCAGAAAACCGCATTTCCTGGCAGTCTTCTCTAGCCACCTCTTCCCCGAGTCTCGGTGGTGGTGGAGTTAACAGCCATCCCACTGGGGCTGAACTCAGTCTCTTACTCTTTAGAGCAAGACAGTCCAAATGAAGAGTGAAGACAAGCCCTGAGAATGAAAGAGAAGGGATAAACCAAGATGGAGCCGCTGACGACAACCCAGCACACAGTCTTTGTGCTTTTCTTTTTTTCCTTTTCTTTTCTTGCCTGACTGCACTATCTGGATGAAGAAGAGGTTAGAGCTAACGTCTTTGATGCTAATCTTGGGGATTAGGCAGTCGTTGTTTACCTTTAAGTATGATGTCAGCTGTAGGATTGTTTTTGTTTTGAGATAGAGTCTCACAGAGCTCAGGCTCCCTTTAAATTCCTGGTTCTCTCGCCTCTACCTCCCCAGTGAAGGACTAGAAGTCCACAAGATCCCAGGTAGTCAGGCAGAAAGGAAAAAGAGGCTCCAGGTGGATTATTACATTTTGATTTGGCAGATTATTTTTTCCTGCCAGAGAGAATTTTTCAGTGAAGCTTTCTGAGGAGGGTGAGGTGGATTGGTTTCCTGTGTTGAGGACCAATCTGTTCTCTCTCTTTGTCTAGATTACCCGACCCCCTGTGACAGCCCAAACCAGTCAGTTCTGAGGGGAAAAAAAAAAAAAGAGGGGAGCCAATCTCCAAACACAAAAAGTCTCTGAGACAAACTCCAGAACCACTTTAGGTCCCCTTCCCACTGGGGAAGCTGTTTTTTCATGTGCTTTGCTTTGTATATGTTTCTACTTTTACTAAAACTTGGCTGCAGGAGCTGGAGAAACGGCTCATCAGTTAAGAGCACTGACTGGCTGCTCTTGCAGAGGACAGGCGTTCACTTCGCAGCATCCATACGGCAGCTCACAACCTTGTACGCTTCAGTTCCAGGGGAGCCAATGCAGACAGGTAACACATAGTCATACACGCAGACAAAGCATCCAAGCACATAAAACCAAAAATTTAAAAAAAAAAATTGGCTGTGGTGAGACCTTGCTTTTCCTGCTTTTTTATTCTTTAAATAGGCAGAGGAAATAATAGGTTTCTACGGCCCTAGTCGACTCACCATGACGGCACACAAGGGCTAGATTACAGGTGTGTCCTGCATGCCTGGCGTAGACACCGTTTATCAGCGAGAAGATTGCTGAGTGCTTTTATCATGAGCAGTGTGCATGCACACCAAACACCTTTCTGTGTTTATTGACATCCTTGTTCCCCCTCCACACCCACCTTTGTTTTGTGACCCTGCTGACCACTTGGTTTCCTCACCCACCCACCCACCCTGCTGAGTGTATTATTGCTGTTTCAATGGTAAACCCGCTTCACATTCCTGGATCATGAGCCATTTGGTCATATTTTACCCTTTTGTTGTAATTATTGAACTTGATTGTATATATTTTTCCTTTTGAGACAAAGTTTCATATAGCCTAGGCTGGCCTGGAACTCACTGTCCCGTGCTTTTCTGTGAAACCTCACTCTCCTGGTACAGGGCGCACTTCCTGTACCGGACCACGAGTCTGGATCAATATCCTAGGAGTTGAACAGACACACACAGACCGGATCATTTGCCCAAAGGGTAAATGTCAATCTTTATTCAGCACACGTAGGCTTATATACTTGGAGGCAAGAGAATGAGAGCCCCCCTCCCACCTGGGAGTGAGATCATAGTGTTGACTGCCTGGTGCCAAGTGGCAGAACAACCAAGCAGGGGGTATCGAGCTGGGAACCCTGACAGACAGATGGGAGAAGATTTAGGGTGCCTGTGAGGACCTTTTTAGCAGGTGAAATTATCATAGCAATGACAGAAACAAGGCTTTGAACTAATTCCCTCTGGTTGGCAGAATGAGCAGGAGAAGCTAAGCTGGTTAGCGTAAACAATTCTTGCATCCTGTGCTTCGAGGAACAGGGAAGACAGGGCCCTACAACTCACTATGTAGCAAAGGATGACTGAGAACTTCCCATACTTCTGTCTCTGCCTCTTCTGGGGTTACAGATACATATGGCCATAAACAGTCGTGGAATGATCGTTTTAGCCACTGTGAAGATGTGCTGCTCTTGTTGTTAATAAAGAGCTGACCAGTCAATAGCTAGGCAGAAAGAGCTTAGGTGGGACAGCCAAACTGACAGAACCCAGGAAAGAAGGAAGGCAGAGTGGCCAGTCAGATGCTAAGGAAGCAGGAGATGAACATGCCATACTGAAAAAAAGTACCACCAAGTGGTAGAGCGTAGATAAGAAACCTGGGTTAAGTTGTAAGAGCTAGGTAGTAACAAGCCTAAGTTATCGGCCAAACATTTATAATTAATAAGTCTTTGTATGGCTATTTGGGGAACTGTCGGTCCTGATGAAGAACTCCACCTACAATACCCAGTTTGTTTGTTTATTTACTTCTATGTATATGTGTGATTTTTCTGAATGTATTTCTGTGTACCACTGTGTGCTTGGTACCCTTGGGGGGCAGAAGAGATCGCCACATGCCCTGGAACTGGAGTTAAAGATCAGTTGTAAATAAACTGCGGGTGTAGGGAATCAAACCCTGGTCCTCTGGAAGGGCAGCGGGTGCTCTTAACTGCTGAGCCATCACTCCAGCCCATGCCCAGCTTTTTGTGGTGCTGGATATGACACAGGAGGCTTTATTCAAGCACACTACCAGCTGCCCCAAAACATTTGTGTCCATTTCAGTCTCTGGGGATCCTCAGAGCCCAGAATACTGCTTGAGACAGAATAAAGTCTCAAGAGCCGTGCTAAACACATGAAACCTCTAGCTCCCTCCACGTGGGATGGCTGAGCCAAATAACTTATTTACATATGTCAACAGAAAGTTCCAGACTTCCTTCTGAAAATGCTGCCTTAGTCTTCCTTCCCAGCAAGAGATACACCAGGGAGTAAAGGCTCCACTACAGGCAGGCGCTGCAGTCAAATCCTCTCAGTGGGCGGGGAACAGGAGCAAGAGGCATTAACCGAGAGGCTTTGCAAAGTGGCCAGTCTCTGAGCCGGCTTGATAGACTCACTGCAAGGGGGGAGGAAGGGGAGGTAGTTTAGGCCCAGAAGGAACCGGGGCAGTGGAGGAAGGGTGACATCTTGGCATCAGAAGCCGTGCACTCAAAAGCACAGAGGCGTGACAAGTCATTACATCAGCCTCCAACTTAGCTGTTGACCTTGAGCAGATTGGTCCTGCTTGTTGGTGAAGAAGGAACCAAACAACAGGGCTGCCAGTGAGATGATATACGGGAAAGACCTTGGGAAAATTCCCACAGAAGCGCTGCATTGCTGCTGACAAGGAGATGGGAAGTCTCAGCTGCACTGACAGGCCTGAGGAGCACCCAAGAGACTGGCTCTTCCTGGGGGTCAGAGCCTAACAAACAGCCTTACACAGCAGCCCAGGAAAGGGGTGGGCTCCAAGGGTGGCACCTCCTCTGATTTAGGATGGGGCGTGGTGGCTCTTGGGAGGCTGAGGCAGGCGAGCTGAGCTGAGTTTAAGGTTAGTTTGGTCTACCTTGAAAGTTCCAGGTTGACCAGTGCTGCATAGTGAGACCCTGTCTCGGGGCAGAGACAGACAAACAAAACCCAGAGTCCTGCCTAGAAAGGGACAGTTCCCTTCTGGTTAATAGATAGGCGGTAGTCTGCCTAGGCTCTCCACTACCCTACAAACCACCTTTAGCTGGGGCTGAAGAAATGGCTCAACCATCTCAGAAAATACCAATTCTCTTCCCAGCACCAACATGGTGGTTCACAACCATCTGTAACTCCAGCTCCAGGGGATCTGACTCCTTCTTCTGGCCTCATTGGTCACCAGGCATACACGTAGTATACATACATGCAGGCAATAACACTTATACATATAAATGCTTTTTATTAAAAACTTTAAAAATCAACTTTAGCTAAGACAAGCTCTCACTTCCTAAGCAACTGAAGCAAAGGGTTTTGGTAGATACAGGAAGCTTGAAGAACCTCACCTTTTTCTTTCCTTTCTCTATTATTAGAGCACAGCTGGTGTGCACCCACCCACACCCACACCCACACCAAGAGAGCTACCACTGAACTATAATCCCAGACTTGGAGTGCTACTATTCCCCCGCGCTGCCTGACAACGACGGCTTTAATATAGAGCAATCAATCACTGTGTTTGTATTTTACATGACTATGGAGCCTAGCAGTTGTTTCTCAGCAGTGCCCCCTACCAAACACAGATTGGCTGTGTTTACCCACAACTCACCTCCCACTCCCGTCGCCCTGTGTGTGCGCATCTAGTAGCTGGGTCTGGGAAAGGTGGCGCTTTGCTTTTCATCAGATCTGGGAAACGGAATACAAAAGGTTGGTGTATCTGCCTCTGGACACTCTGGAGGGTGAAGGGACAAAGGAGCGGATTGCGTGAACAGGTGGCTTCTAGCTAGCGGCAAAGTAGTGAGATAAAGGGGAAGGGATAGGTTCCAGGAACTGCGAGAGCTAGAGGTGTCAGATGAAGAAGGAGGGAGAAAGACATAAAAAGGGGAGGAGAAGGAGAGAGGAGGAGAGGGAAAGGAGGAAGGAGAGGAATATGAGTCAGTTTGTAAGCAGAAATTTATTGCCTTGGTGCCCATGCAAGAACAGAGTCACTACCAGGTCAGGGAACAGCAGAGGCTGAACAGGTTTGGGGGGAAGAGTAGAGTGGGAAGTTCAACCTAGGCCATTTGTTTATTAGTTTCTTGGGCAATGTTAGGTGGCAGGTACTGTGACAGGAACAACCTGTAAGGAACAACCATGAAGTCTAAAAACAAGGTTCCCTGCTCCCACGAAGCTCACATTCCAGGATGGTTAGAACAGTTTAAATAAAACGACAAAGTAAGTGAGGAAGTCACGTGATCAGGGTGCTGCCAGGGTAACCAGGCAAGGCCCAGTCAGAGCCCAGCTTGGAGGTAAGAAGATGCCAGTCTCAGTGTGGCAGCGGTCCAGGACATCTCAGCAGAGAAGCAGTTTGGGTATCTCGGTCTGCATATTAGAACACACAGTACAAAAGTCATACTGAAAAATACATACCAAATATAACACTATTTATAGAAAGACCAAGAACGCTCAAAGTTCTAAGGGAGTGCTGGAGGAGAGAGGCTCTTTAGATCAAGTGTTTTTTTCCTCCTAAGCTCAGAGCTGGGAGATGCAATATATAATCTGTGTACTTTTTTGCATATGGGAATACTACAAAATTAACTTCTTAAAAAGATCCAGTTGGCTGGGGAGGTGGCTCAGGGTAAGAGGACTTGCAGTCCAGCCTGATGACCTGGGTTCAGTTCCTGGGACCCACAGGATGGAAGGCAAGAACTGACTCCTGAAAGCTGTCCTCTGACCTCCATACCTGCAGGGTGGCACGTGTGGACCCACAACACGCCCAACACACACACACAGACAGCTGGGTGTGGTAGGTAGTGCTTGCTTCTTGTTGTTGTTGTTTGAGACAGGATTTTTCTGTGTAACCCTGGCTATTGTGGAACTTATTCTGTAGACCAGGCTGTCCTCGAACTCACAGAGATCCACCTGCCTCTGTCTCCCCAAGTGCTAAGATTAAAGGTGTGCGCCACCAAGTGCCTTTAATCTCAGCACTGGAAAGGCAGAAGTAGGTGGATCGATGTGACTCCAAGGTCACTTGGTTTACCTAGAAAGTTCCAGGTTAACCAGGGCTTCATAGTGAGACCATGTCTTAAAACAACAACAATAAAACAAACATATGCCAGGTCTGGTGGCAAACATTTTTTAATTCCTGTACTCAGGAGGCAGAGGTAGGCAGATCAAATGTGAGTCTACATGACCAATTCCAGGCTATTCAGGGCTACACAGTAAGACTATCTCAAGACCAATCACACACACATAAACGTCTCTTTTTCTTTTCTTTTTCTCTCTAATTCCCTTCTTTCCTTTCCTCTCTCTCTCTTTTCCTCCCTCTCTTCTTTCCCTCCCTCCCTCCCTCTTTTTCTTTTTCTTTTTCTTTTTTTTTTTTTAAGGCGAGACCGGATTAGGTGGCCTGGTTACAAGGACCAAGCCGCCAGGGCAGGTTTTCACGCCATCCATTCGCAAGCCTAGCCAGCCTTGCACGGCCAACCTCCCGGGACCGACTCCGCCCCGCGTCTGCACGATCGCCACGCCCCACATCCACCTGTCGTCCAATAGACACACGGGATGCGGGTCCACACCCCCGCCGCGCCGCGTCCCGCCCCGTGACGTCACGGCCCAGCCTCCGCCACGTGACGGCCGCGCGCCGGGCTCTGGCTAGCGGC